CACCTGTTTTGGGGAAAAATGAAAACTGAGGCGGCGCGATGTTTCCTACCAACACGAAGCACATCCTGCCTTCACATCACCTGTTTCATTTGTTCACATTTAGGTTTGGGGGGGCTGACACTGCTAGCCTGCTGCTAATACTCATGGTGATTCAGTATCAAAAGGATCCAGTGATTTTCAGCCAATGATTACTTTCATGATTAACTGTTTATAACGTGTCAAAGTAGTGAAAACCTGTCCTACAATCTAAAGTGCTATCTGTAAACAGCTTTGTTTGGGCCAGCCAGTGGTGGAAGAAATATTCAGACCCTTTACTGTAATAAAACTAGCAATAGCACATTGTAAAGATACTAACATTTTTACTTAAGTGAAAGTATTAGCAGCATTATAGCATTACCATTATAGAGAATGGCACATTTCATACTGGGTTATATTTACTGATGCATTGTTGTGTTGTTGGTGGAGCTGATGTTAACTACCTTCTAACTGTTTATAGTTTGAAGTACTTTACATTACTTTACTGCTGGTGGCTTGTGAATTCCCCACCATCTTAGGATTATACTGTAGTTTTAGTCATTTGATTCTGCAAAGGAATTAAAGTTATCAAATAAATATAATGCAGTAAAAAGTACAATATTTGAAGTATGAAGGAGCAGAAAATTGAAATACTCAAAGTAAAAAATACCTCAGCATTGTACTTGAGTACAGTATTTGAGTAAAGGTACTTAGTTACTTTCCACCACTGGGGCCAACAGTACTAAAGCCCCTAAATAACCATTTATCACAGAACATCTTCACAGTGGAGGAGCTGGATTAATTCAGCAGTTTGTGAGAATTTAAAGATTATTTTTGTGTTAAATGAATCTTCTGAAATAATCTGAGCTGAGACTGAAGCAGCATTAATGTTGGAGCCTGATTATGATTTAGTCTTCTGGGAAAATGTTTGTCATCAAACACTAAAGTGTAGTTTTTCCTGTGAACCGTTAAATTAATCCTCGTCACATTTGTAATTTTTATGTCCTCTGTCCTGGTGAAAGTGGCACCGCAACACAACACTGACTCCGTACATCCACTTAACCTGAACTGAACCCCTTCTGTTCCAGGTGGGGTACTTTATCTAGCATTAGCTGAATGCTAATGTAGTACGTTAGCAAACATCAATAAATAGCAGATTAACTGGTAATAAAAAGTTAGTTGCAGCCCCATCACAAGCCCGTTTCCATCAGGAAAAAGAGTTTAAATGAAAATGTTGAGATAAATTTAACTAGAATTACTGATTCACAGCTGTTCGCCTTCGCCAACCAGTCAAATTCACAGGGCTGGGACAGAAGTGAGGTCACTGACCGTTGACCTACAAAATCTAATGGTTCATCCTTGAGTCCAGGTGGACATGTTGCCAAATTTGAAGAAATTCCCTCAAGATGTTTCTGACATACTGTGTTCACAAGAATCGTACCGACGGCCAACCAGAATACAAGACGCCTGTGGCTGCAGCTGTCACGTGGGCTCAAACCTTTGAGTTATCATCTCATAATTTTGACCACTTTTCCTCACGTCTAATTTTTAGGCACATTTGTTCTAGTCTTGATGAAAATGGACTTCCATACTAAACATCAACAACAACACTAATTCTAATTATTATAGCAAAAGTCAGCATGGATACTGCAGGACCACTGTGCTGCGGAAGACGTCTTTCTAGGGTTAAGGTCAAAATGGAACATCAGCAGCGGGCGAGAGACTAAAACAGTGACTCAGCTCTCTCTCCTTTTGATCTCTTCAACAACTGTTCAGACTTTTTCCTCTTCTGTTCTTTGTTTGCCTCACCTGCTGCGTCTGAGTCAATTACAGGCATCTGATGCTCAGAAGCAACAGGTGGGAGGCGAGGGACTTGAATTACACACACACACACACACACACACACACACACACACACATTCAGTAAATCAGATGTTATTGTGCTGAGATCACTGCTGTGGCTGCCGCTGAGGTCCCAGAGGTCCAGACCTCAGTGAGGGATTCAGTAGCTTAAGTACTTCTCTAGGTATCAAGTTATGTGACAGGTGTAAAACGGGGAAATAAAAGGAACCAGAGTCAAACTCTATCACAATCTCCCAGTAAAGAGGAAATATGAGTAACATCGGCTCCTCATGACGCATCTGGGAAACAGGGTTTGTGCAGGTGTGGTTGTTTACTTCAGTAAAAGTAGCAGAGGGAGCTGATGTTAACTACCTTATATACATATAATTTGAAGTACTTTACTGCTGAGTAGCTTGTGAATATTCCACTGGGGATCAATAAAGTCATGATTACATAATAATTAGTCTCTTATGAATATTTGCCTAAACATATAGTTGAAGTAGTGTACTCAACTGTACAGTATAGTACTAAAGGTACTACGACTTTCCACCTGTGCAGGCCTGTGTGGTGCACATAAATACAGTATGTAGGTTAACAGCATGTTCCCCAGATGTTACTTTAGTTCACACTAATTAAGTCACAACCACAACGAAACACACCAACCCACAAAACGTGAGGAAGCAGGACAGACTCACATCTGCTGCAGCTTATTTCACAGTGTGCGAAAACTTCATTTAATCCAGCAGCTAAATGTCGACACTGTGGATCCCTATAGAATTTCTATTATTCAAATAATAAAACAATAAAAATCTCATCTAATGTTTCAAGCACCACAGCGACAACATCCTGAACCTCACGAACCTTCCATTCACATCACATCACATAAGAAATAACCTCCATGCAGCCACACTTCTAGTATTAGAGTGAAAGTAACTTCTTCAATACTATTTAGCACATGCTGAACTTACTTTTATGACATTTTACTGTGGTATGTTTATTTAGCTAGTATTGTGTTTGGTGTTTTGTCTGAGGGAGCAGAGCAAAGAAATAATCCCCTTCTCTGACCAAACACCTGTAGTGTCAGAGTTATTTCACACTGACAGAAGGAGCTGAAGAGATGGAGGATGCTGATGCAGACAGCAAAGACAATGGAAGCTACTGCTCTGAACTGCTGCCTGACTGGTTCACAGTGTGGCCTGGATGTGGCCCAAGTGCAGATCAGTGTGTTTCCAGGTCGGTTCTGACAGAGAGCGAGAGACCGTTGGGGGCGGTCCTCATCAGAGGAGCTTTGTCATTGTTACACAGACGCTGATCCTGTGACAGTGGTGAGTCACGCGCTGACCCAGATGCTGAAGCTGATTCTCTCTCTCTTTCTCCATTCGCCTCCTGTCTCACTCTCTCAGCATGACTCACAGTGACTCTGCACAAATCTGTTTACATGATACGTCAGTTGTGTTGCACCGGCGTTGCACCAGCTGCAGTGGCACGCTGCACCACCAGAGGGCAGAGCAGACCACAGCGGAGGCCACTTCACTCCCAGTGTTCAGGCTCTGTCACTGAGCAACAGGAAACAGCTGATCTACACAGCAGCTTCAGGAGTGACGCTTACAAAAATGCCCAAAAGCAAAAACTTGTATATGTGTTTAAGTATTCAGACCCATAGGTCAGGAGCCCTTTTGGCAGCAGTGACAGCTTCCAGTCTTCTTGGGTAAGTCTATGTAAGCTGTGCACACCTGAGTTGAGGAGGTTTATTCTCTTCTTCCTGGCAGCTCCTCTCTAGCTCAGTCAGATTAAGTGTCTGTGAACTCTTCGGGTCTCTCCACAGATGTTCTCTGGGGTTTAAGTCTTTGGCTGAGCCCCTTAGTGACATTCGGTCACTGGTCCTGAAGCCACTCCAGCCCAGTCCTGGCTGTGCGCTTCAGGTCACTGTGGTGAAAGGTGACCTGTCGCTCCAGTCTCAGGTGGCTGCACTCTGGAGCAGGTTTTCTTCAAAAACCTCTCTGTATTTGGCTGCATTCATCCTTCCCTCAGTCTCCCTGTCCCTGCTGGTGAAAAGCATGATGCTGCCCCATCCCCACCTCACTGTAGAAACGGTGGTAGCAGGTGATGAGCAGCGCCTGGTGTTCTCCAGACAAAGTGTTTGGAGTTCAGTTTTTGTTTCATCAGACCAGAGAGTCTTTGTCCTCCTGCTCTCACATTCCTTTAGATGCAGTTTGACAAACACCAAGTACGGCTGCACATTTGTAAACGTGCAGCTTCATCTGCCTGTTACGCACAGTGGCTTCTGTCCTGCTGCTCTACCAGAAAGGCCCAAGTGATGGAGAGCAGCCGGGGTGGTTCTCCATCTCTGCAGAGGACTTCTGAAGCTCTGTTAGAGGGATTCAAGTCGGAATCCTGCTGGCTCCAGATGTCTTCTATTTCAGTTACTGAGGCCACTGTGCTCCGGGAACACTCAGAGCTTTAGACACGGGTTTATCCCTTTGCCCTGATCTCTACCTGACCACTGTTTGATCACAGAGGTCTACAGAGAAGTGCTTAGTTTGTATCCTGACACGTAGGGTGAAATGTGGGGCCTGAAATAGACAGGTGTGCCTTTCTACACTCTCTCTCAACAATTCAGTTTGTCACAGGTGGCAAAAATGGCAACATAACATAAAATCTACAGCACAAAGTGTGTGAAAAGGAGAGTGAAGCTACTGTACAGCACAGCAGTGTAGGTCAGAGAGACAGAAGAGCAAATGACAGAGACTTAAAGGTAGTGCAGCATCATTCCTCTGACATACTACACACTCCGTTTCCCTGCCCGCTGAGAGCGTCACTGCCTCGACAGGTTTCCCTCTCCTTGACTACAAACACACACACACACACACACACACACACACCCCACACAGACTGCTGACAGAGGCTTCATCTCTACAGACGAGTAAAGAAAATATGAGTCTACTCTCAATATGCACGAGTGTTAATCACTGAGAATATGTTTGTTTTTGTTCATGCCGTTAGTGAGATATGACATTTTGTGTGTGACTCATGGAAACAGTGGA